CAAATGCAAGGATTATTATTATATTATCATAGCAAAAGCCGGTCATTATGTTCAAATACTTCAGGAATTTCTAAATTTAAATCACTATCAGACTCCAGCATGATCCGTTTTGATGCAAAGATCAAGCCTTTGTCTTCCGTTGCTGGGCTCGGTCGGTGTAGGAAGGTTCTTGTGGAATGTTGTCAGCCATTCCTGGTGCTGTTCGTATGAACCCGATAGCACTGAGATAGTCACAACAAATCAGAGAATCAACACCTGGGGAAAGGTGCTGAAACCTTCGCTCCCAGATAATAAACAGAAACGATTTGTTTTTAAAAAGCCAAGTGACCAGAGTGCAATTGGCATCAGCAGCTGAGCTGCGGAGAGAGCAGAAACCCCGGCTGATCTTAGCCCCGCGAGGCCATTTTTGTCATTACGCAGAAATTGATGTAAATTAATGCAAACTTCTCCCAGTTAGGTTCAGCTATGAAGCTGGTTGACTGCTGCTCACGCCAAGAAACTGACTTTCAAGTTAAAAGTGAATTTACGAATTGTCCATAATTGTTATAATTATAATTCTGGGTGACCTAAACTGAAGGCAGAGTAGCCCTGTGGGCTAAGGCTGGATAGAACTTTGGACCTTCCTCTTTGACCGTGTTTACGGTCACCTCTCCCCCTCCCCAGCTTGACATCACGCTCGGCCACTCTCAAGCGCTCTGGGACACCACCCTGAGTGAGGGACACTGTGTAAATGCATGTTGTTTTTGTTGGGCTTCTGCAACGTTCCGCTCTCACTTTAAATTTTCTTCCACTTTCTCCCCTTTCCACGGATCATTACATCCTTAACTGGCTCCCAGCGCAGACAAAACTTTCATCCTCAGTGAACTTTGAAGGTGAAAGGGTCTTACCGGCTGAGACCAGGTAAAGTGCGTCTGCACTCGCATATGTTAACACCGTAATAACACTAATAATCCTTACATTTAATATCGCACTTAAAACATCCGAAACATCTCAAAGCTCTTTACAGTAATTAGTTTTGAATGCGGTAATTATACAATTCTAGACCGAGGCGGCAGCCAATTTGTGCACAGCAACGTCCCACAAACAGCCAGGAGGTGAAACATGACGACTTCAAAGACTGACAATTTAGTGAAACATATTCCACGTCATGGAATTAATGCATGTTTGTGCAGTCGAATGGAAAAGGACCATTTCTCAAACCTCAACAGTTTCCATTCGTTTTTTTACCCAATAGATTTTCCAACAGCTAATTTGTATTTGATGTTAAGACAACCCTGTGAACTCTCAGCTCCTGCAGTTTTCCTCCCCCAAATGAACGGCACAGTTGATTCTGATTAGATGAGGCACTTACTTTGATGCCTGTGGACTGACAGGGCAACAGCCAGAAACTCTCACATATCTGATGACTGTACAAATGACCTGCAGCTCGCTGAAGAAGACGTTTTGCTTAGGGAATAGTGATCCGACTGTCTGTATAGTCCTGCAGAAATAGCAGAAAGCAGCTCAAACTAGTTTGTGGACGAGTTGGGCCGAATGGCCTCTTTCTGCGCCATATTATTCTATGTAACAATGGCAATTTCTGACCAATTCAGACACAGAACTCTGTGGTCCACATAATATTGCCACAAAAAATTATGTGGACCACAGAATAATTTCGCCCACAAAATATACAGTCAATTGCCCACTTGCAGCTTAATTTACGCGACATAAGGCACAAATATAACATTACACGCTTCCTCCTGTACCTGACAAAGACCCATACCTGGGCAGCGATTTGAACTGGAATTACATCAGCTGCTCATTTCGATTCAATGCAACTTAACGGCCTTTGTGCAACGCAGACAAGGCCAAAGTTAAACCTGGAGCGAAATGACTTGAGCCTCAACCGCACCAAACGTTATCCAGTGCTGTTCATTTAAGAGGACTCCAGTTTGTTTTGGCAATATTCAAGGTATATCTAAAGTGCTCTGCTATGAGGCTTTGACAGATCAAATTCCATCCCATTGCAGAGAGAGAGAGAGAGAGAGTGGGGGTCGGTCGGGGGGGGGGGGGGGGGGGGGTTGGTGGGGAGACAGAGAGAGAGAGAGAGAAGCAGTTCTCTGAACGCACTTGCCCTGGCAGCTGGCCAGAACTGTCAGTCAGCATTAGACAGAATTTTGGTCGTCCTCCTCTTTAGCCTTGGCAGGGTTGTCAGTGTGGCGCCTAGGCAACTGCAATGAGATGCTAATAGGCCCCAATCTGTCTGCTTGTGGACTACCAGCCCCCCTCTCCACCTCCCCCCCACCACAACCCCCCCCCCCCAAGCCCCGTGTACATCAACTCAAACCACAAGAGCCTAATGATTAGATCCCAATGAGACAGACCAATTTTCTCTTCTGTCAATATCTCTGGTCACTGTCATTTCACATCTCGGGGCCAGGTTTGTAGTTCATGTGATATTTATCATATTGATCGGGCTGGAGATAAGCCCCCTCTCTCCCCCTCTTCCCCTGTCCCTCTCTCCCCCACCCTCCATTCTCAGTGGTCTGTACTCCTTGGGGGGGAGGCAAGCCGGGTTTCCTCGGAGCTGAACTGGCCCCAAGGTGACATATTTGGCAATGGAATGTCAGAATCGAGCCAGCTCTCTGTGACGGTCTCTAGTCCGGTTCCTGATCCAGGTGGGTCTGCAGTATTCCAGGGTACTGGTGATGACAGCACAGTACACCTTGGCTCATCGGCAAGACCTGGAAAGGCAGAGCAGTCACTGGGGGCAGGGAATCCTCCCCCTCAGTTCCTGCAAGCCAAAGCCCTAACGGGTAGGGTAGACCTAGCAGGACAAGCAGTGGGAAAGCTCGCCAGACAGTCTCAGGGTGAAGCTGTGGGTCCATATGTTGGTTAGTAAGATTTGAGTTAGTGGTCTTTGAGTTGACTAAAGAGGTTAGACGATGTGATTCCGAGTTCCAATGTGGGGCTTGAACCCAAACCCTCCGACTCCGAGGCAAGGAGTGCTCCCACATCGGCAGGCTGGCACGTGTTTTTTTTTAAAAAAAAAAAGCCAAGAGAATTGGAAATGGGATTTAGCAGCAGATGAAAAACGAAACAGAATGTCAACAGACTCTTCACGGAGCACAGTAATTACTCGGTTAAAATCATTATCAAAAGAAATGTTAATGAGAGTGCTGAAAGCTCGCCAGGCAAAGTATTACAGTCGAATCACATGCTCGTCACACAAGTTGAGAACCCAATGCATTTATCCCACAAGAAAATTCTTGATCGGTCTATCCCAATCCCTGACACGGAGGTAACAGAAGGTTAGTGTCAGGTCAGTCACACAAGCCAACTGTACTGGGAAGAGCAAAGCTCTTTATTCCCTGACGTTTTTAAACTGAGAAAAAGCAGCCACGGAACTAGAAATTGACAGATGCAAAACTTCACAGAATACCGTTTTTTCAGGAGCCCTGAAGCGCAGCAGTTTGAGCGCTCGCCTCACGAGCGAGAGGGCCCGGGTTCAAATCCCGGGCAGAACAGAGCGAAGCCTAGGCTTACCTAACAGTAAGTAGGAACCCGGTCGTTAGTCGATCGGCAGATTGCTTTCGGGGGTGACAATCCCTCAAAAAAAAATTTGGTCACTCAGTACGCGACTGTTTGGGGGACACTGCTGTGTTTTGCCCACAAAAGGTGTATTCTGTGAAGCGCTTTGAGACATCTCAGTTACAGATGATTCAGTCCTTTGCAAAGACTGACATCCTGTCCTGCCTGTTCAGGCAGACTATTCACCATTCGAAAAGATCTCACAGCGTCCTGGCCAACAATCCTCCAGATCAAAAACAATTGGCCGCGCACTTTTTCAAGGACATTGTTGTGTGTCTCGCCCACAAAACACAGATGTGTCGAGGTGATAAGGTGCTGTATCAGATGCCAAGATTAGTTTTGTCATCAGGAATTATTTTTTTACACACTCACACACACAGGCTGAATCACACATTCCATCAGCTGCTTTCTTCACATCTCCTCGCAGTAACCAGAGTTAATAAAACAATGTCCTTTTTCTAAGGGGGCGTTGAAAATATTATCGACAGATTTCTCAGTTTTCTAAGGGCACGAAGGACAAAAGAAAAAGAGAGGAAGATGTAATTTCACACCTCGCGGAGGAGGGCTACAGGCAGCAGAGCATTCACTTTTAAGAATAAGTCACCAATTAGCAATCCTTAACACAACAAAATCACGCTAGTTAAACATGAAAAGTGTGCAGTGGGACAGCACAGTATCTGTGAATGAATGATTACCTCTTAGGCATAAGCGACCCAGAGTCCTGATGTGGGCAAAGAGGAGGCAGCACCATGTTGCAGACTCCCTCAGCGCACTGTTCTTCCAAAGGTCTCAGTTAACGGTGTCCTGGACCCTGTCCCCTAAGGAAACTGACCTCCCAATCCCCTTCCTCATCTTGAAATCCCTCTCTGATCTCCACCAGCCACTCTGGAACTATCTTCCCGAATCGCTCTACCCCAAAATCTCCTCACTCGCCCCACACTCACTCACACACTCCTATAAAACTTTGCAAAGTCCTTAGCCAATCTCTAAACGGGCACTGCTGTTGTTATTAGTAAAGAGGAAATTTGCTGTTTGCCATTAAGTCATTTAACATTAAAATCATTCAGCTGTGCAATTTTAGACTCCCAGCTGTACTCCGAGCTGACTCTCCAGCTCTTTATTTCCATGTTATTGCCGGAGAAAGGCTGGGGCCCATTGTGCGTTCTCTATGGCACCATTTTTTACAATTCCACCTGGAGTTGGGCTTTTTTTTTGTTGTTGTTGTTGTGTTGTTTAAAATTTCAAACAGCAAAAAATCGTGAGAAAATGCTTACGAAGCCATCTGAATTTGGGAGCCGGACTTTTTAAAAAAGCTTTTTTTGTACGATCTTAACATTTTTAAGACAAAATAGTCTTGCAGCCCGCAGACTAGGTGTTATTTTAGGGCCCGGGACTTATACGAGATTGTAAGTAGGGAATGGAGACAGTCGGCTTTGTTTATATTTATTGTAGTTCACATTTTCCACAGTTAACAGAGAAAGTAATAAACTAGGCTACTGTTGGTGTAACACAGTGGAGGCTGATTTAACAATCTTGTTATTTGTTTTTAGATCTTTAAAAGAGACGAATATTTGCAAGTCACAAACAGTTAGTTATTCCACTGAAATTTGTTGAAGTTCTTTTTTGCAAAACTCTCTCAAAACACCTCTTTAAAACAAAATGTCCAGTTGATCTATTTCCCTAAAAATGTCTCTCTTCCCCCCACCCCCCACCCCCACAAAAATAAAAGCTATAGCATTTAATGAGCCTTTGTTGAAATATAGGGTGAAATTGATGTGTTCATTTTATGCAATTAATATCCTTCTGTATTTTAAAAATTATGAATTACGCAGATTGTATCACAGTAATTGCAAATTGTCTCTCTTCCTACTCAAAACTAAAACCATCCCTCGAGCATATGCCAAAAAATATATAATAAACACTTCATTGAATATATGCTTTTTTATTTTCACAAGAGCTACTTTCTTACGTGGCATTAAATACCTTCATCAAGGTAATCCCAGTGATTGAATCATAACCTGCTCAACTTCCCTCCTGGAAATGTCACAGTGAAGGTTGGAAATGTCACAGTGAAGTCTTACTATAATGACTTTAACACCAAAGGACTTAATTTTACAGTGTTTCTAAATTATCCCATTTACTTAAGAAATTCCACATGTGTGGGGGGGTGGGGTGTGTCTCCTTCTGATAACTGGATGCCCACCTTCCCAGTTATTCCAATTCGAGTCACCCCACAACATATAGTTCAGCGTAAAAGTCTAGTGAGTCAGTCTTGTGCAAGTCTGGATTTCTTAATCAAGAAATCTGTTAAGAAACACTGCAAAATCGGGCTGTGTGGATTACCCCCTTGTCTTGAAACGGACCGAAAGATCAGATTGGGTGAGGGCCGGGGGCGGTGGGGGAGAAAGAACGAGACATAAAAAGAGCGATCACTGGTACAGTGAGTGGAGGAGCCAAGGGCAAATCTTATTGCTTTGTCTGCACATGACTAGTGTAAAGGATTAACAATTTCCGATTTCTGTAAGAAGGATTTTGGGATCAAACGACGGTTCTCTGTATTTAACGTTGTTCTCTTCGTAACCCGGGTAACGAGCTGTTATACACCGACCAGCATACCCATAAAATCTGACCCACTCTGGATAGATATTGGCGCTCCAGCACTATTGTCCACAAATATGGAGGTGTACTGTCCAACCTGGGGAACACAGAGAACAGCGTTAAACAATGCGAAGTTATCCTGGATGCAAGTCGTATTTTCGGATGTTTTCTGGGGAGGAAAAAGATCTGATCGTTCATAGTTTTGTAGCTAATTGTGAGACGCTAAATCGGCTGCTGTGTTTGTGGCGGTGCGGGGGGGGTGTTTGAGTGTTGTCAGGTGATAATACGCAGCAGGTTTGAGCATGCAGAGCAGAAGCAGTGGTTGCATGTTTGCTCCCTCCCTCGCCTCCTCCAAGGCACGTGCAAAGACCCTCCTCTTCGACCGCACCGTCGGCCACCCTCCTGCCCCCTACCCTCCCCGCCCTCCACCCCCTCCTGATCCCAACCCCCCAGCTCGGGTCCAAATCCCTGACTGTCCAGTCCTCCTGACGTGAAAGGCTCTGTACAAATGTAGTTTGTTGTTGTATGCTTGAAAGTCAAGAAGGAGAATCTTATAATCAATCAGCTGAGGAACCAGGAGCCCGGGCGAGCGAGAGAGGACACACACTGCAGAGTTCTGGATAAGAGTCTCCCAACCTGTAACTGGAGCAGTCCATGTACGTAGACTGTGAATATTTTGCTGTTACTTTCCAGGCCAGCTATTACTTCGAGGGAGCTGAAACGAAATGACACAATAATAAAGGGTTACCCGAGTGCAAGTCAAAAGCCAACGGAAAAAGGTGTGAAATCAGCATGTTAAGGCTTGCGGCTGTTCTACCAAATTCAAAATGCGTTCCGAACTGAACTGATGTGTTACTGAACATGAATCCCTTCACGCCCTCGCACCAACTGTGTCCTACCCCAATCCTCTGTCCGCCCCTTTGCTCAGCTAACTCCCTCCCTCTAACCTCTGACTCACCTGTGAAGGGCACTATGTAAATGCAAGTTATTTATAATCTTAATAATAATAATCCTTGCATTTGATACAGCGCCTTATCACGTCTTCGAGACGTCTCAAAGCGCTTCTCAGAATATACTGTAAAGTGAATTGACTGTATATTTTTTGGGCGAAACGTGGCAGCCAATTGCACACAGCAGCGTCCCCACAAACAGCCGTGGATTGAGTGACCAAATTATTATTTTTTTAAGGTATTATTACCCCCTCCCGGATAGGCGATCCACAAATCAACTAACAACCGGGATCCTACTTGTAGCTAAGTGAATAGAGGCGTGTGGTGGAAGGAAACTTGCCCAATGTTTCGTCCTTCCCAGGAATAATAATAATTCTTCCATTTAACATAGCGCCTTCTCACATCAGGAGGACGTCTCAAAGCGCTTCACAGAATTTCCTCTAAAGTGTGCTTTGACTGTGACTGTGTGTTTTGCAGACTTTGAGTGCATAAAGTGAGGAGTTGCCGTCTGTGAGACGAGATATGAGATCAAAGGACCTCAGTATAAATGAACGTTTGTGCTTACGTGTATCGATGGCAGAGGGACTCGATACAAATGAGGACTCGGACATTATCCCGTGGGCGAAGTGGTCCTTTGCTCTTCATCTCACTGTGGTCTAAAACAGAATATGGTTTCAGAACCAATATTGTGAAGCATTAAATACAAGTAATAATGAGATTACGAGCTCAAGTGCTAACACTGGGCTTGAACTCACAATCAGGCGGCTCGGAGGCATGATTGCTGCCAACAGCTTGCCATTGTCACCCACAGTTTTATATGAATAAAATTGTCGTCTATATCAACCTGTCCGCTCCCTCTGCCACCCTTTGGCACTCCAGCTCACAGTCTCTTCATCTCGCTCCCTCCCTCGCCTCCTTCGAGGCAAGTCTCAAGACCCTCCTCTTCGACCGTGCCTTCGTTCACCCTTCTACCTCTACCCTCCTTGCACTGCACCCCTCCTGATCCCAACACTTCCCCCCACCAACCCCCAACCCCTCGCCAGCTCGGGACCGAATCCCTGACTGCCCAGCGCCCTGTAAATATAATTTGTTGTTGTCGTTGTCTTCTACAAAACTGCCCCCTGCACCAGCAGCGAGAGATCCATCATCAGAGCTTCAAATGGCCACTTACCGATGTGCACGTTGGCAGACAATTGGTAAATACCAGTTACTGGCGCCATAAAACGACCAGTTGAAAGATTCATGCCCGATCCTCTCAGGAATGCACCTTTTGCAAGTGGCTGCCAAAAAAAAAAACCAAGGTATAAAATTGAGGCGGCTGAATGAAACTGCTGTATTAAAGCCGTAACTCCTGCTGCTAAAAACAATCCTTGCATTTGATATAGGGCCTTATCAGGCCGTTGAGGCATCTAAAGCGCTTCGCAGAACATACTGTAAAGTAGTGACTGTGTATTTTGTGGGCGAAATGCAGCAGCCAATTGCGCTCAGCAATGAATGGCCCGCAAACAGTCATGGATTGAGTGACCAAATCGTTTTAAAAATAAGACGTGATAAGGCGCTGTATCAAATGCGAGGATATTATTATTATTATTATTATTATTATTATTATTATTATTATTATTATTATTATTATCATTTCTTACCGTCTGGAAGTTCTGAAGCTCTAAAAGCGTCCTTTTGTCCACGGTGACAATCCCCTTCAGTTTACAGTGAAAAGCCTCCTGCACCCGCTTATAGGGTCGGAACTCATCGAAGGCAAAAGGTGAGGATGGGCTCACACTTGCACTTACTTCTGTCAGCATTGCTGACCTCCGCTCAGTGGCTTCTGAGGAGAGTACAAAACTCATCAAAGTGAAGAGCAGAAAAACCCTGTGGAAAAAAAACCGCTGCGTCTCACAGAACCAATTGTTTGTCAATTGGCGAATCACTTTCCACAAGTGACAATCCCTTAAAAAAATAATAATAATAATAATAATGCTAACAATAATTTAGTCGCTCAATCCACGACTGTTTGTAGGACAATCACTGCTGTGCGCAATTGGTTGCTGCGTTTCGCCCACAAAATACACAGTCACTACACTTCACAGTAAGGGCTTTGAGACGTCTCAGTGATGTGATAAGGCACAATATCAAAAGCAAGGACTATTAATATTAATATTATTATTATTATTATAGAACCACTTGGGGGGAATTGGTTTCTGAGGGTCCAGGCTTTGGACTAACCTCTGATCATATCTTTGAATTCCCGCAGCAGGACGTCTTGAGTGACTTCAGCTCCTGGGGGCCCCGATGGACCTGGGGGCCCGGGAGGGCCTGGGGGGCCGCAAACTCTTGGCTGGGAAAGACACAGAGAGCAGTCAGGAAGTTGGCACCAACGACTCAAGCAACCACCCTTTCACATTGGCGTCAGGTGGACAACAACAAGAACAAATGCCATTTACACAGTGCCTTTCACATCAGAGGGGGGAGTGGGGGGGGCGGGGGGGGGAGTACGTCCCAAAGCACTGGATAGCAAGGATTTCGACCTGAGCTGGGGTTTGGTTGGGATCAATAGGGATTGGAGGGTGACCAAAGGCGCGGTCGAAGAAGAGACCGGCCTTGAAGGACAATTAACCTGCAGTACGAGTTTCAATCCTAAACCGACAGTCCCTGGTTAACTAGCCGTCCTGATATCAGATATACCAAATCATGTTGAGATCGCAGGTTCATTGCCCACCAACCCCCCCAAATGCTCTTGACTTGAATTTTACCCTCCATCAAGAAAGGAGTGAAGCAGAAGCAGGTTGAAACGCACCAATACTTTCTTGCGGTTGGATTTGCATTTCTTGCCGCCTTTCTTGACCCCATCGTCGGGTCTCTGTACGAACTTTATCCAGGAGGAATGAGGGTCCACTGGCCGGTGTTCCCGGGATTCAGGGAGCTGAGGAACAAACAGAAGTAAAGAGATTGCCAGGAATTTGATTATTTGGGGGGGAAACCAAGTATCCAGCTCTTTCAGAGAGCAGGAACAGAACGCTTTATGATTTAGCTGGATGCTTGTTCCTGTTACCTGCGAAGTAAAGTGGTCGCGTAATGTTATGCCGTGATTTCGTTATACTGAAAGGAAGACAAAAGTCAAAAGTGTTTGGTGTGCAATACAGCGAGCTTTATTTATTCACGATGCATCATCGCTTCTAGCTGGATTGTCGGAGGTGCCGTCCGTCAGATAAGAGGTTGCACAAAATCCAGTCTGCCTGTTCAGATGGCCGTTTAAGATCCCATGGTGCTATTTGAACAGAGAAGTGAGTTTCTCCCTCCTGGTTTCCTGGCTAACGATCCCCCAAGTAAAACTGGTCGTTCATTTCGTAGCTGTTTGTGGGTCGTTGCTCTGCGCAAAATTGGCTGCCCGCGAATATACAGTCACTCCGTTTCACAGTAAATCCTGTGAAGCGCTTTGAGACGTCCTTCTGACGTGATAAGGTGCTGTACCAAATGCAAGAGTGATTATGATGATGATATTGATGATGATATTAATGATGATGATGATGATGATGATGATCAGCAATCACTGTGGCATCAGATAGAAATGATGGTTCATTGCATCCATTTAGTCAGTTCTACCTGTCAAAGGCGTCAGCACCGGCACTGGGTGTACTTTGTGCCTTTGGTGGAAGGCATGTGCTCACACGTGCTTTCGCTTTGTGCAAGAACCGAGAAGAGTGAGTTGGCGAATCGCTCAGCAACGCAAGCGCTTAGATTTTAATGACAGAGTGAAACCCCGGCTGTATTAAGCACTGCGAGAGGCCGTCCGGCGTGGAGGGCGCTATGCAAATGCAAATCGTCGTTGTTGCGTCGTTCTCTTCAAAGGTTTTTTTTCCCCCAAAGCTTCCTCGACAGGCAGGAGCAGAAACAGCTCTCGGTCCGTGTCCTGAACAGACTTCTACAATTGCGCTGGTTTCCTCGAGCCTCACACAACATGGACGCCTAGAATACCAACTTGGCACAGAGATATCAGTGCTGGCGCTGATCCTCACTGCACAGCTCTGTGTCATTACAATCTNGGGGGGGGGCTTTCCTCACGGTGTCCTTGGGAAAGCAAAGCTCGTGGCACTGATCTACTATTGCAGCAGGACAATCGAGATCTCTGGCCTTCACAGATCCGAGGAGGGGAAGGGAGGGGACCAGTTGGGTCCGATAGAGATCGATTGCCAACACTATTATTGTAGCCTGCGACGACCGGGACGGTAGAAGGTGAACCAGATGGACTTTGGTCCTGTTTTTGTCTAACGATTCCTATGTTCCCGGGTCTGTTGCACCAGAGGTGCTCTCAGCCTCTTGGCAATGCGCCACACTCTGCAGCAGTTGTAACTGATGCGTCCCACCTTTCTCCCACTTCTCTCTCCCGGTGAACTGTGACTGAGCTGGAGCCTGTGCGGAAGGTTCAAGGCCTCCTCTCCCTTGCGGAGAAGCTCTCAGCATCGGCTGCTGCGGTTAGGGTCAGAACCTGAAAAACACAAACCCAGAGAAAACATGTGCACAAACAGGCAGTGTTTGTCCATAACAAGATAACAAAAATTCATTGCTGTCTGCACACGAGGCCCCCAAATTATATGTCAGTCATAGCTTTACGATCATTGCCGCGCAAAGAAAAAAAACTGGTTTGCGATTTACGATTGATTTAAACAAACTTCTACACAATAGTGCAGGTCGGTAGCGCCAGAGGACACGGCCTGCGGTTGAAGGCGGGTAAATTCAAGACAAACTTGCGGAAGCACCATTTCAGTGAGCGAGCAGTAAATGTACGGAACAGACTCCCTCGGGAGAAGGTGGAAGCAGAAAGCGTTGATTCTTTCATGAACAAATCAGATAGATTTCTTGTAGGAAATAATAGCGTGGGACAAGCGACTGCCAGGATGGATGAACCTTGCTCTTCTTCTGTCTAGAAATTCTTGTGTTCTAATGTTCAATTGTAAATTTTCAAACAGTCTGAAGGCTAAGAGCATGATATATTTTGGGACTCTCATTGCCCAATAGCTCTGGACTCACCATTCAGGTCTCTGTGGTCCCCTAACTTGGCTTCTCCACCCCTTGGAGGTTTCACCAGACTCTGTCAGCAGTTTCTATTCGGGTTGGGGTGGAGAGGGGAGAGGTTTGAGCTTTCCTCATTGTCTTCTGCTGCAGTTAAACACCAGCTTAGCCTCTCAAAGCAAATGACACAGTGTTGAGCATCAATGAAAACTCTGTGCCAACTTTGCTCACATTGTACTGCAATCCACAGAGACTAGTGTAACATATACATTTCTACAGTCTTACAAACACTGCTGCCCACATTAGTCATTGTGCTAACATTACATTACATTGCAATCCACGACATATTTGTTAAAAGGCATTGATCATGAGGGTTTCACCAAACCTTCTTCATAGGCTCTGAAGACTGCCGAGGCTTTGGGCAATCAGTGCAGGTAAAATTTCCTAAGGGCTGTTAGCAACGCTGTGTGCAAATTGAATACCTAGAAATACACAGTGACTACACTTTGTAGTAAACATCCCAAGACGTGCTTCGATGTGACAAGGTGCTACGTCAAATGCAAGGAGCATTGTTATTGTTTCAAAAGCTCAGCACAGTTCAAAGGCTATCGACATTCACCACAATTTTGTTCAATGGAGAATAGAGACATTCACAAAATCAGAAGAAGGGAGGGATCATTCAGAATCGAGCTAAACAGGTATCTGAGTAGGAAAAGCATTAAGGGATGTAGGGAAAGAGCTAGAAAGTGGGATTAATGGCAAAGGGAGACTTAGAAAAATGGGTGTCAGTGACACAGACACGATGAGCCAAATGTGCTGAAAACGTCTGTTTTTTAGCTCAGCGTTTTCCCATTAACTATTGCTTTAATGGCAAATGCACGAAGCTTAAACGTTCCTCCTGAAACTCCCTCCGGTCTCTCTTTTTTTAAAAACCCTTAAAATATGGGGAACGAGCGGGAGGTGGGTGGCTGATTGGGCAGCTCTTCCAAAGAGCCGGCACAGGCACGATGGGCCGAATGGCCTCCTTCTGTGCTGTAAGACTCCATGATTGTGCAGACAGAGATGGGAACCACATAGGATCTCTCCCAACTCCCCCCACACCCACCACTCCCAACCCACCCCCCCAAACTCCCCTCCTTTCCTTCCCAAACCCGTCAGATATGTTTAGACATTCGGTCTGTAGGCAGACGACACCTCACGGAAGCACGACATCGCTCCTCGAGAAGAGCGGAAAAAAAAACTCACATGGGATGTCTCACCCTGCAACAAGGATGCCTCCTGTTGGCTGGACACGGGATGGCCCTGGTGTCGGGAGTCAGGAATTCTGCGCCCTGTTCTCTCATCCTCCGGTTGGAGGAGGGGGAGGAGGTCTGAAGGGAAGAGCCCTTAAGATGGGAGAAAAGGATAAAGGTATAAATTGCGAAAACAACCAAAATGAAAATAATTTCCTCCCCTTCCCCCCCCCCTCCCCAAAACTGACCGTATAAAGGGGCCGACTTGATTTTCAGAACTGTTTATCGAGATAATAATAACAATAATAACAATAGTAATCCTCGCATTTGACACGGCGCCTTGTCACGTCTTCGAGATGTCTCCAAGCGCTTCGCTAGAATAGACTGTAAAAGTGGAGTGACTGTGTGTTGTGTTATCGTGGCAACAATGATCGTTGTCAGTTGATACGGCGCCTTTCGCGTCGGGAGAAAGTCTCAAAACAATTCACGGGACGTACTGGGAGTGTAGTGACTGTGTAGGCTAAAACGACAGCCGATTTCTGCCAAAACAGCCGTGTTAATTTTATACAGCGGGGAAAGCCTCGTGTCCGCAGTGTCTAATGGGAAGAACTGATGCGGTGAACTGTCGCACTTGAGGATGGCACTGCCTTCGCAAAGCAAGCTGTGACCAGGTAAAGGGTTAAAGACCTTTTCTGCTTCCACAACTGTTCGACGGTGATGTCAGAACAAGACTACAGCTTTGAAGCCACACTTTCAAAATCCGCCACGAGCGAAGGGTGTGAAAGACTCGCAAGCGGAGCAGAAGTGCCAAAATGACACACCGATGAATATCACGGCCTCTGACAGAGATCACAACGGAAAAAAACGACTGTTGTCTCAAAATGCAATCGGGTCAAGTTTGCGATATTTCTTGATGGTTATTTCTTAATTCTTAATTAGGAAATCTGTAATTTGACGATGCAGACTGGGGAACACAACTCCAACTCAATCTACAATCTACTTTCATTTCTTTTGTGTCCAGCTCCCGTGCATATAAATCAAGGATCCCAATTGCCTCTTGAATGATTACCCTTATCCGAGCATTTAATAACAGCACCTGTAACTTTAGCCTGTCCCGTACACTTCACAGCTAATTACTGTCAAGTGTAGTGACTGTAGGCAGATATGACAGCTAGTCTGCTCACAGATAGATGGTCAGTTATACCCTCTTTCTAACCTCACGAAATGCAAAACACAAACAAAGATTACAATGAACGTTACAGCAAATCATAGTGTGACGGCTTCTCGACATACTGCTGAAAAAGATAAAAGAATTCAAAAGGATAAAATAATTTGCCAACACCTTTCGCAGTGTCTTTACAACAACTGAATTGCTCTATAGGTAAAATCAAGAATACATTTGGTGCCGTAACCTGAGCAAAAACTGTGCCAGCTCAGAATCCTGTGAGGTTATGGGTTAATCAGAGCATTTTATGTTTGAATTATTTTATTGTCGGCTGACGCACTTACACAAAAAATATATAACAAATAGGCTTACTTGACAAATGGCTACGGCAGAATACAGCCGTCTACGGAAAATATAATAATCCTATTAGTGCACTGCAACGTGCCGCAAACAGCCAAACAGTTTTATTTGGGGGATTGTTAGCCGGGGCAGTGGGAGAGAGAAACTGCCTTCTCTTTTCGAGTTGTGCCACAGGATCTTTAACCTCCACCTGAACAGGCAGACGATGACCTCGGTTTAATATCTCATCCAAAGGACGGAACCTCTGACAATGCCGCGCCCCCCACCCCAAACCCCCTGCCGTGTACCGGAGTGTCGACTAGATGAGTTCAAGTCCCCAAGTGGGGGGGTTTGAACACACAGCCTTCCGACTCGGAGGCGAGAGAGTGCTAAACTGAGGCAGCCTGGCTATAGCAAAACATGGCTGCCTCCAGCTAAAGTATAACTCCCGGTTAAACGCGGCTAACTGTAACAGAACACGTGGAACACGGCTGCGGTTCACAAATACGGGATGCGATCGGCTGCCAATCGGACGTAATTTGCGGTATTGCTTAACCTCCGCTCCAGAAGCACGGCTGTGACAGATCGGAGTTCCCGTGGGTTGGCATGTCAGACGATGTTACATCTTCTTATTTGGCCAACACGGGCACTGCGGTAAGGAATGTGATCCGGAAATACCGCAAGCTACAGCCCACTATTCCCTATGAGCCGGTTTGCTGGCAAATTATTTTCTAAAAATCTATGTGCACCGTCAAAATAATAACCACGACAATAATACTATTCCTTGCATTTGATAATAGCGCCTTATCAGGTCGTTCAGACGTCTCAAGGCAAAGCGCTTCACAGAATATGCTGCAAAGTGGTTTAGCTGTGTATTTTGTGGGCAAACTAGCCACGGTTCGTTTGTTATTTCCCGTGAGCAGGTTTAGACATCAGGCTATTTAAGTGTTTTGATTTTTAAACATGGAAATAAATTCTGGGTTGCCAAGGAGTCTTTTTTTTCCAGTCTTAAGCATCAATTGCTTTGCACTGGGAGCGAGGAAGAGGCACAAAGAGAAAGAAAGAGAGAGGGCGACAGAATAATAATAATTCATTACCATATTCCTTGCAAATTATGTCTTTTACAATGTAAAGAGTACGTTTTAGCTTTGACGGACGGCGCTTTATTTCCCCGCCGCCCCCCCCCCCCCCCCCCCGCGAAGCGCTTTGAGACGTCTCGACGACGCGATGAGCGTCCGTATCAAATGCAAGGATCATTATTATTAGTAGTGTCAATTATCATTATCGGCGGCGTAAATGATCACCGAGTCCTTTCAGACGATGGGACTCTTGAGCATCAACCGTTTCGCGCTGAGAGGGAGGGAGAGGGAGAAAGGGAGAGAAAGAAGAGAGGAAGAGAGGTAGTAAGCGGAGAGCAAACCCCCAGTTAGCAAAACCCATTCCCCACTCACCTCCTCGCTGTTGGTGAGAGTTGTGTTAAAGGGCTCTGTGTACTGGTTGGGTTGATTCATCCTCTGAGCCTTGTTTCTCTTGGCAGACACAATTAGCTGATGGTAAAGGACTGCCATCACGATAGGCAGTGTCCAGCCTTTCATCGTTTGCTATTTGATGTATATTTCAAAGAAGAAGAAGAAAAAAAAAAGGAATTAAAAACCTCCCCAATCCTGGGGCAAAAGCGAATCCTTTCTGCTCCACAGACCTGAGCCACAAAAACGTCCTACACCCCAGAGGATAACTGGACCATGGATGCACTGAGCTGTGTGACAGTTACTTTGGAAATCGATTCCCAGGTTTTCTCAGAAGCCAAGACCAGGCATCTGACAGACTGAGCCAAATAGTTTGGCAAAGGAGCAAACCCTTTGGGTTGGGGTTTCTGTTGCTGTTGTTGATTGCAATCCAAAAAAAAGCTTCCAGATATCCACAGGCAGACGTCCCACTCACCCCCTCTTCCCTATAGACCCCCCACACACAGACCCACACACACCCCCACACACACACACCACACACACACACACCACAACTGGGCAAATGGTTTAGAGATGTCCCAACTTGAAGGATCATTCCCTCTTTCTCCTTCACTGAGATGCTTTCCTTCCCTCTTTCTTCCTTTCTTCCTTTCTCTCTTTCTTTTTCTTTTTCTTTCCTTCTTTCCTTCTTTCCTTCCTTCCTTCTTTCCTGGACCACAAGAAAAGTTTCTCCCACAGGTTCAAATAACTCTCCACAAAGTTTTCCTGCCCACAAATTTTTTTTTTTTTTTTAGGGGGTGGGAGGGAGGGAAGGGAAAAGGTCCCAAGTAACGTATCCAGAGGCTCCACAGCCTTTGCTGCAGTGGGAGCCCTTTAATCTTTTTGCATTTGATTTGACTGCAGTTTGCTCCCACACGTGGTGAGGGAGAGGAGGTTGGATTATATATATATATATATATATATATATATATAAAATGTGTGTGTGTGCAGAGAAAGGGAGAGTGTGGAGGTGGAGATTAACATAACACAGTGCTACCCATCCATCAACTTTCAATCAGCTTCTCTCTCTCGTGTCTTTTTTTTTTTTGCTTTTTCAGTGGAAACTCACCAGGTTGAAGTCATAATAATAATAATAATAATAATAACAATAATAATACTTGCATTTGATACAGCTCCTTATCGGGTCTCCCAGACGCCTCAATCAAAGTGCACCACGGAATATACTGTAAAGCAAAGTGAATTGACCATAATATTTTGTGGGCGAAACGCACGTATCATCCAACTTACGTACTTAAGTAGGTCAAAGAGGACAAAATGCCTTAAAACCCTTTACCGCCCCCCCCCCCACACACACACACACCCCTCCCCCACCAAAAAAAAGGCGTCAGTCTCAGGGGGAATCATCCATGAGTTGCCAGCTTTGATGGGGAGTGGGAGGGGGTAACTTTCCTTCAACAGTTTACCGCCTCCTTAACCGTTAGGAATCTGATCTGCTTCAGTGCCCAGTTTTAATATGATCGGTGGTGATGGGTAGAGAAGAGCCACTGCTTTGTGAAACACTATTGAGTCGTCAGGTTGTGACAATTTTATCTCTCCCCCTCTCTCTCTCTCTCTCTCTCTGTCTCACGCAGTCTTTCTCTCTCTCGCTCTCTCTCTTTCTCACCGCGTGGAGTTTCATGCATGGGTGTTGATGGGGGAGGGGTTAATTTCCCATCCTCTACTTCTTTCGCCCACAAAACACACAGTCGCTAGACTTCACAGCATATTCTGTTAACGCTTTGAGACGTCTCAGTGACGTGATGAAGTTGCTTTATCGAACGCAACGATAATTATTATTATTATTATTATTACCCTCCCTGACCACCAGCGAATGAGCAAGTGACTCTCCTGCACAAATGCCGTCCGCTATTCACCCAAAAAAGATGAGAGAGAAGCAAACGGGAACATTCCCTATTACACTTATGTTGATCGGAACAAAAATAAACACGTTATCCGTCTGTAACATCCATTGAGGACGTTCCGAAGCTTTAGGCTGTGAGCCCCCAACGCACACTCTGGGCTTCCCCCCCCCACCCCGAGCCCCACCCCGAGCCCTGACATTTGCCAACCTGCACCTAATACTTTCCGGAATTAGGTAAGCAGGGTGCGGCGTTCCAGGGAGAGCGAGAGAGAGAGAGAGAGAGAGAGAGCGCATTCCATTCCGACAATCTATCTCAGGAATTTCCAATGTGTCGGTGGGAGGCCTGGAATTCTCAACTTGGTTGGGAGACTCTGAAGCCACGGCGATGGGTTTCCGCGTGTGTCAAACAACAACAAAAAAAAAGGACTTCCCAAACAATACTTTTAATATCCACACAGGAACCAGACCACTGTTAACACATTGCATGAAAAAAACACGTGACCATGAGAAAAGGGAAATAGAAAACAAAAAAACTCGTCCTGTAAACCTAAAACGTACTCTTTGAAAGACGTGCGTCACGAGGAGGATCATTTTTATTCTTTTTGTAGAAGGCACCTTCTTGTCGTCCCGTAAGAAAAATAATAAAAGCCCTACGTTTGATGCGGACTCGAAGAATCTCTTGCGATGTGAATACAAGCGCCTTCATTTTCATGGAGGAAAAAAAAACAGATTGCAGGCAAAATTTTGCCGCTGCTTTCAAAATACGTGGGTTAATTAACACAACAAGTGCACCCGGAAACGTCGCAAATTATGCTCTCGTTGGAAAACCGATAATCCTTGTGATTGAAGCGGATTTCCTTGTAACAATAGTGCCACCAACTGGTTAAAGATACAATGCTCTTCACGTCCAAAGTCTTGTCCCATCACCAGAATAGTAATAATAATAAAGATATCGATGATAATCCCTGCATTTGATACAGCGCTTTTCACCTCTTCTCGACGTCTCAAAGCAGTAGTTATTGGGGTTGATAATTGGGGGTCAGTAGTATTGGGGTTGTAGTGGGGGGTGTAGGGGGGGGTCAGTAGTATTGGGGTTGATAGTGGGGGGTCAGTAGTATTGGGGTTGATAGTGGGGGGTGTAGGGGGGGTCAGTAGTATTGGGGTTGATAGTGGGGGGTCAGTAGTATTGGGGTTGATAGTGGGGGGTGTAGGGGGGGTCAGTAGTATTGGGGTTGATAGTGGGGGGTCAGTAGTTATTGGGGTTGATAGTGGGGGGTGTAGGGGGGGTCAGTACTATTGGGGTTGATAGTGGGGGGTGTAGGGGGGGGTCAGTAGTATTGGGGTTGATAGTGGGGGGTGTAGGGGGGGGTCAGTAGTATTGGGGTTGATAGTGGGGGGTCAGTAGTATTGGGGTTGATAGTGGGGGGTGTAGGGGGGGGTCAGTAGTATTGGGGTTGATAGTGGGGGGGGTCAGTAGTATTGGGGTTGTTAGTGGGGGTCAGTAGTATTGGGGTTGTTAGTGGGGGGTGTGGGGGGGGCAGTAGTATTGGGGTTGATAGTGGGGGGTCAGTAGTATTGGGGTTGATAGTGGGGGGTCAGTAGTATTGGGGTTGTTAGTGGGGGTGTGGGGGGGGGCAGTAGTATTGGGGTTGATAGTGGGGGGTCAGTAGTATTGGGGTTGATAGTGGGGGGTCAGTAGTATTGGGGTTGATAGTGGGGGGTCAGTAGTATTGGGGTTGTTAGTGGGGGGTGTGGGGGTGGGGGCAGTAGTATTGGGGTTGATAGTGGGGGGTGTGGGGGGGTCAGTAGTATTGGGGTTGATAGTGGGGGGTGTGGGGGGGGCAGTAGTATTGGGGTTGATAGTGGGGGGTGTGGGGGGGGCAGTAGTATTGGGGTTGATAGTGGGGGGTCAGTAGTATTGGGGTTGATAGTGGGGGGTGTGGGGGGGCAGTAGTATTGGGGTTGATAGTGGGGGTGGGGGTGAGCCTGGAGCGGGGGGCGCTGTGGCTGTGTTGGCCGGTGGGGGCCGCCGGGGGGCGCTGTGGCTGTGTTGGCCGGTGGGGGCCGCCGGGGGCGCTGTGGCGGGAGGCGGGGCTCGGGGCGGCCATGGTGTTCCTGTCGCTGTCCCACTGGATACGGAGCCGCGGCCCCGACCGTTACTGGAGGGTCCAGGAGGTGCTGCAGCACGCGCGGGTAGGTGAGGGGGGGGGGGCGGGGGGGCCCCGGGGGGGGGGGTTCTGCTTCTCTCCCCCCGGGCCTTAGTCTCGGCCTCTCGGCCATAGCCTCGGCCTCTCCGCTGCTGTTGGCCCGGGGTCGGTGTGTCAGGGCCGGGCTGAGGGGCTGAGGAGCTGAGGGGCGGGTGTGTGTCCACATTACACACACACACCTCCACTCACACACACCTCACACACACACACACACCTCCATATACACACACACCTCCACACACACACACACACACACCTCCATATACACACACACCTCCACACACACACACACACACACCTCCACACACACACACCTCCACTCACACACACACACACCTCACACACACACACCTCCACTCACACACACCTCACACACACACACCTCCACACACACACACACACACCTCACACACACACCTCCACTCACACACACCTCCACTCACACACACCTCACACACACACACCTCCACTCACACACACCTCCACTCACACACACCTCCACCACACACCTCCACTCACACACACACACACACACACACACCTCCACACACACACACACACACACCTCCACACACACACACCTCCACACACACACCTCCACTCACACACCACCTCACACACACACACCTCCACTCACACACACCTCACACACACACACCTCCACTCACACACACCTCCACTCACACACACCTCACACACACACACCTCCACTCACACACCCCTCACACACACACACACACACCTCCACACACACACACACACACACCTCCACACACACACACCTCACACACACACACCTCCACTCACACACACCTCCACTCACACACACCTCACACACACACACCTCCACTCACACACCCCTCACACACACACACCTCCACACACACACACACACACACCTCCACACACACACACCTCACACACACACACCTCCACTCACACACACCTCCACACACACACCCCTCACACACACACCTCCATATACACACACACACCTCCACACACACCTCTCCACACACACGCGGCTGATTTCAGCTTTCTCTCTCTCTCTCCCCCCCCCCCCCCAAAAAAAAACCCAATGGCGAGTTGTTGTCCAGCCCCACCGCACTGACATCACTAACCCGGGTATCTTGTTATTATTAGCCACTTGGAGAACCCACTCAGATATATATTCCCCCCACTCCCCCCCCCCCACCCCCTCCCCACCACCAGTCGCCAGACAGAGTGCTCCGATCCGTCTCCTGGCCAATGTGCTGCATAATTAGCCGTCGGTCCGTACCCACAGCACCAACGGTCACCTTCCTGTTTTTACAGCATTTCCGAGGAAGAAAGAACCGATGCTTCGGGCTGGCAATAAGATCGGTGAGGAGAGCCTTCCTGTACTCCACGAATGCGAGGAAGAGGAAGAAGAGGAGCATGAGAATGGTAAATCCTCCATGGGTCAGTCAGTCACTGTGTTAAACGCGTTCAGAGCCGAAGAAAATGAGGGGCCGCCAGAGCTGTTAAAAGTACATTTTGTTCATAATTCACTGAATATAATCAATAATAATCTTCGCAGTTATATATTGCCGCATCGCCGAGACGTCTCAAAATGACTCACTTTCGCTTTTCGGATGTCTCAACGACGTGATGAGGCAATGCATAAATGCGAAAATTATTCCAAAGTCCTTCTGTAACTAATTGTTAGGAAATCTGAATCAGTCCTTCACATTGCGGCCAATCTTGTCCCTGCAGGGAGGGAATTTGGAAAGTTCCTTCCTATTGAATGGCACACGTCTGGTACCAGGAAGCTAAGATGGTTTGCTTCATTCTACACTGAATACAAAACACTTTGTTCCCCAAATAAATCTACATCAAAACAACATATATGTATATTTCTCTTTTGTTATATTGATATTTGCCCAATGGAAATATATAGTTTGCTGATAGCTACATGTCTTAAGAAAAGTACACAAACATTTTAAATATTGTATACAGTAGTGCTGTACCTTAAAACCTAATCTGATAATAATCCCTCAAGAAAAAGTCCTGTAGCTTTTACTGAGTCCTGTAGCTCAGTAGTTAGAGCATTTGCTTTGCAAGTGAGACACCTGAGTTCAATTCCAGGCAGAGGGCGAGACCTCGGGCAAGTTTCCTTACTCCACACAGAGCCTAATAATAATCCCTCCGAAACAAAACAACAATAAATTGGTCATTTTCAATCCACGACCGTTTGTGGGGATGCTGCTGTGCGCAATTGGCTGCCGCGTTTCGCCCACAAATATACGGTCAATTCACTTTATGGTCTATTCTGTGAAGCGCTTTGAGACGTCGAGAAGATGTGAAAAGCGCTATATCAAATGCAAGGATTATCATTGTTAACGTGACCCTTGGTGGAAGTTTGGTGTGAAGAGGATAAGCAATTCATGGGGTTTTGTTTCTTTTGCTTCAGCTTTGGATAGGCAGGATCGCAGCTGCCTCTCGTGAGCACGGATTGAAGTATCCCATTCTGATCAGTAACCTGGTTAAGGTAAGAGCACGGTGAACAGAACTGTAAATAGACTGATTTTGTCCGCCTCCAATGTGGTTTGTAACACTTAAATTAATCTCGTAGACGCCTCGGAACATGTGATCGACCTACTGACATGACATGTGACTCATTGGAATATAAAGTTCAGTACCTGAGAGAATGTTTGTTGAAATAATAATAATCCTTGCATTGGATACAACTTCTTATGACATCTTCCAAGTGCCTCAAAGCGCTTCACAGGATTTTACTGCAGTGAGTGTAGGCAAATGTAGCCAATTTGCACACAGTAATATCTGAGTAATGTCTTACAAATTAGGATACTAGTAAAAATACCCTTAGCTTTTTGTACAGTGCCAGGGATCTTTAACATCCACTTGAACAGGCAGACAGGATTTCGGATTTACCTCTCATCCAAAGGATAGAATCTTTGACACAGCAACGTAAGTGTCAGCCAAGCCTGTGAACCCAAAGTCCCGATGTGGAACTTGAGCCAACAACCTTCTGACTCGGAGGTAGTGTTACTAAGTAAACCAGGGTTGACAATTTGACCGAGGTATACAAGTTTCTTTTCAACATAACCATCTGAGGCGCTGACAGAATCTCAAGAGTTTTAGAGAACTCTTTATGAAGAGAGATCGGGGAGTGTGAGTAATTTGTTTTGTTTCTCTCTTGCAGTGTCAAGTAGCGCTCAACAGAAAAGTACTGGCTGACCTAGCTATATATGAACCAAAGACCTTCAAATCCTTGGCAGCACTAGCAAAGCGAAGGAGAGAGGAAGGTTTTCTGGACGCACTGGGCGATGGGAAGGAACCCGCTGGAGTCTTCTCACGTATTGTTCATCAAAGTTAATGGAATAAGCTGCTGCTGCTTTGGTTTCTGTAAATTATTACCTTTATTTCTTGAATTTATTATGCTGCACATTTCGCTCGCTATTGAGTGAAAGCTTTAGAGAGCAACAATAAAAAAAATGGACCTGATTTTATCGAAAAGCTTCTGGTATTGTGAAGGCTGCTATCGATAACCAAATCTGCCCGAAAACAACAATAAAATTACATTCAATTGAATTTGACAATGCAAAGATGTGTTGAAAGGCAATCCCGAGGTGAGTTTTACTCGCAATTTTTAGGGGGGTTTCCTTTCGTAGATACGGAAAATATTATACATTCTCTGTAGGTTAGTTCTATGCAATTGAAGTGTGTATAGGCATTTTACATCTTGATAAACATTAGGTCGTCCTTTATTGAATGGGGACCAAGTGCAAACCATCCTGTATAAGCAGTATACAGAGACAGTAAACCACTGAGAACTCAGCCTTCAATGATGAGGTATTGGAGCGGTGAGTTAGGCATATGTATAAATATATAAATAAATGGCTGGGATATTGACAGTATGAGCACTTGAGCAGTAATGAGAAGTTAAACCAGGGTTGCATTGGGGAGGCACGTGGGAGTGGGAGCAGAATTAACGTGGATAGGTGTGACACTCAAGGGCCACTGTGCAGCTTACCTGTACGGGAAGGGCTGGACACCATATTGGGACTTGAAACCCATGCAGTCTACTCCCCAGTGCGGTGATGGGAAGTGCTGCTGGATTGTCAGAGGTGCTGCCCTTCAGATGAGACATTAAACCGAGGTGCCATCTGTCTGTCCAGATGAACATTATGATATCTCGAGCCAATATTGGAAAAGAGAAGGGAGTTTCTCTCATTCTGGTCAACGATCTCCCAACTAAATTGGTCACTCTGTCCACGGCTGATTGTGGGACATTGCTGTGCGCAAATTGGGCTGCTGGGTTTGCCCACAAAATACACATAGTCACAGCACTTTGCAGTACATGCTGTGAAGTGCTTTGAAACATCTCAATGACGTGAAAGGCGCTACATCAAGCACAGACCAGGGATTTGAATGGCTGTAACAACATGGTTCCAGTCGGTTTTCCCCAATGGGTGGTGGGATGGGGGGCGGGAGGATGTGGACAGTTGATTCTTCTATCCCTCGAGGAGCACAAACTGTAGAAAACTCAACAAAGCTGACCGACAAAAGTGGAAAACAGTTTTGCACGCTTCACAAACCTCACTGTTCCTCCAGTTAATTCTCAGACGGTCAGGATACACTTGAGTGGCAGCAATTGCTAAATGATCTTTATCTGCTCTGGGTTTTCTGCGCACTCCTGTTCTGGTAAATGTGTGCTCCAGGTATCTTCTGTCTGATGGTGGAGATGCTGACTGGAAGCTTCAGCTGTGAAGTGAATGGAAACCAGAGTTGAGATGCATTGTGCAAAGCATAGCCCAAATTGTATGTATGTTAAAGCAGTGGAGGTGAGAAGGCTAATTGTCCCTGGGAGACATCATTACAAGTTGCAGTCTCTCCTAATTGACTACTGCTGTGCGCAATCGGCTGCTGATTTCACCCGCAAAATATCCAGTCAATTCACTTTACATTCTGTGAAGCGCTTTGAGACGTCTCGAACGACAAAAAGGGCCCTATATCATATTATTATAAATCTGTGCACAAAGTGACATACCGGCCAGCGATACATTCTTCCTCCTTTTGTTCCTTCTCCACATGATTACAGTGGATACACCAAGTATGAGACATCCCAAAGCCACAAGAATTGCAAAGGTTTGCACTTGGCTCTCGTCACCTGGACGAACTGAAAGAAGTCACATCTCTGTTTGACAACAGCAAAAAAATCACACAAATTCTTTGTGCTTGTGAAAGACTTTTACGTTCTCGCTGATGGTGAATTCACGATGTAAGGCTGAGCATTCGCATTACTCGCTGTACGGTATTTGCTGTATTATTCTCTGTGTAATCTTGCAAAGACCTGTACTACAAATTTAAATAGATCATTTATTCTTACAGTTATATTCACAGTGTAATGTTCGTTATGATTTTGAGATGAAGCTTAGAGGCGGGTGCGAGAGAGGTAAGTTGGAAGAGTTGATGGGTGGGGACGGAGGAGAGATGAGTTGGAGAGTGAGTGTGGGTGAGTGGGTTGGGGGAAGAGCAGGATGTGTGTGTGTGGGTGGAGGGAGGGGGTGGGAAGAGAAATGAGAGTGAAGTAACTGAGTTGGGGAGGCACATGGAGTGGGAGCAGAATTAACGTGGATAGGTGTGACACGTACCAAGGGGCCACTGTGCAGCTCACCTGTATGCGAAGGGCAGTTTGTCACATGGGGAGATCTGCACACCGAATCGTTGGTCCCATTTCCTCGTGTCATTTCGATCAGACCCGAGGCAGCGCAGCTTAAAAGGAGAGAAAAAAAAGACACACACACACACACACACGTTGTTAAGAGTTACAAAACAAAAGGCAGTGACAACATTTTGGTTTGGTGTCCGGCAAATTTGTCCAGCAAGGGCACCCTGCCTGTTGGGTGGGGGCTTTGACTTGCAGGGTTAACAGGAGCTGAGTGCGAAGTGTTCCTGCCGCCCCCACCAGTGACTGGGATCTCATTCCTGGAGCTCCCCAGAGAGAGCGAGAGAGAGAGATTCCTGACCTTTATAATTCCACAGTATCCTCAGCCTCTTTGAGTGAGTTCTGTTGGGGTCCTGGGAATCAGGTTTGGGCTTTTATGACCATATTTGAGGTGCGAGGGGAGAAATAAAATTGTATGACCGAAAAAACACAACCTATGCAACTTATCCACTTACATTGTCCATGGGCTGCAAGGCTGGAACCCAGAGGCTGAGTATGACCCCTTCTTGCAAGGTATTTCTAAAACAAAGGGAAGATTGACATACATAAGTTCATCATTCAAGTGCCTGTGCTGGGCTCGGTGATGTGGAGGGGAAAGGTTTAGAGAGAAGCCATTTGGCAAACGATGCAGCCAAATGGAGTTTTATTTGTGCTGATATGGGGGCGAATAATAATAACAATAATAATCATTATAATCCTTGCATTTGATTCAGCGCCTGAACACATCGTCGAGACATCTCAAAGCGCTTCACAGAATACACTGTAAAGTGTATTTTTTAAAATATAATCTGATGGTTTTGATTCCCACTCGGAGAACTTGAAGCTACAGTAAAACTCATGTAAGTTTGAAAGCTGAAGTTTACCTGTTGCTGTTGTTGCTGCTGTTGTTTTTGCTGTTAGTTTTGCTGCTGTTGTTGCTGCGACACAGGTTTTGCAATCTGCTTCCTTGCACCTGAAGCCAGTATGGCATTCACACTCGGAATCAGAAGTGAGCGTGCAGGCGCTCTTAAACTTCTTCCCTTCTGTAGGATTAAAACAAAATGACAACTGAAGCTGACATGTTAGAGGAGAGAAAAAAATAACAACCCAAACTGCCTCCAAGATACACCATCGCTACCAACATAGAACATTAAAATATGAAACATTACAAATGTCATATTCAACGTGAGTCAGATTTAATATCGTGTGTAAAGGGTCTTTAGGTTAGACTCTGAGCTCTGGGATTGAAGAGAGGGAACTGTACTCTGTACGTAAGAGTTCTACATGAACATATATGCTTTGGAGTTCTCAACTCAGAGATTAGTTGGTGTAGGCTCTCAGTATAGAAATTTACTGATAAATACATAAGATTTTTCATAAGAAAATAAGAATTTGCTGGCGAAAGAAGACCAAGGTCCATCCAGTTCGCCTTCCACCATCCTGGCAGTCGCTTGACATGTCGTGTCCCAAACTGTACACTGTCTCCTACGATTTTAGTTCCTAATAGAAATCTATCTAATTGGTTCTTGAAAGAATCAACACTTTCTGCTTCCACCGACTCCCTAGGGAGCCTGTTCCACATGTTGATTAATCACTCACTGAAGTAGTGTTTCTGCAGATTGGTTCTGAATTTACGACCCCTTCAATCACAGGCTGGGAAATCCTCCATTGGAGATTTGAAGGATGGAGCTACATGGGCAAAGTCCAAGGCTGGCTGCTTTCTTACTGGTTATTGTTGGCCCCAGGTGGCATGTTTGCTAACTAAGCAACCAATGCACCCCAGATATACAGGTGATACCATTATAATGTCTAATACGTCTTAAAGAATTGATATATATATATTTTTGTAGATAACAGAGTCGTTATCATGACTTTTTTGGTCACCCTGGTACACAATGCACTCTATTATTTCATGGAATCGGGACTCGACAGACACCATGCAATTATACAGAGTATGCAGTTACCCGAAGTTCCTTAATGGCACCACCTTCCAGTCGTGCTCCGCTCTGCCTTTATGTATGTCTACTGCTCCAGCTCTCTTTCTGTCATTCTTCCTGTCATTCTCTGCGATGCCTCTCCACCATACATATACCTCACATCAACTCCTCAACTACACAATTATCCAAACAAAGCTTTGCTGAGTAATTTCTGGAGGAATGCAAAGTCACCGGAAATCTGTTTGTATGCTGCTCGGGGCTGTTGTATAGTGGTGGGTACTTGGACCAGGATGATAAAAAAAAAAGGAAAATCAATCGATTCTGAGACTGTCAGCAAAGGTGAGCATAACATGAGGAACAAGGTTCTTCAACTGAAAGAAATGTAGCAGCTGTCAGCTCCACGCTTGTGTTCTGCAGGAGAATGCTGTATTTGCGGAATTGCTGCAGAATCCTGTTCCAAAGTTCACACTTGAAAGCAGTTTCAAGTCATTGAAGTTCAGCTGGGAGAGTTCCAGCTGAGACTCTTCTATCTGCAGAATTTCTGATGAAAGGTCATCGACTTGAAAACGTTAACTTACTTTCCTCTCACTTGAGATGTGAGTCATTAATAACCCAAAGGGCATATTTCTTTACCTGGGGCAGCAATAAACAAGTGAAACCGGTTACCAGGATGGGTGGTTGAGGCCAGGACACAAAATGATCGAGGGAGGTTGGGATGGGAGGCCAGTATGGTAGGTATTTGGAAAGTTTGAGATCAAATGAGTCAAAGAGCCTTCTTTATCCAAACCCCTCGTGAACCTGTAAACTAATACTCCCAATAACCTAAAACACCCATTAATAATAACAATAATATCCTTGCA